GCTGCCGTGGGCTCGCGGCGATCCGGGCGCTGCCGAGCCCTCCGTTTGCCTGGAGGCAGCCACCCGTGCCTGGCGTGGCCTGCGGGAGCGCGGCGAGGCTGTGCCCCTGGGTCCTGGCGTGCCGGCCCTGGTGGCCAACGGCTTCCTGGCCCTGGATGTGGCGGCCAACCGACTCTTGGTGATCCCCGGGGAGCGGGAGCCAGCCGTGGCGCCGGACTTCGTGCCGTTTGTGCAGCTGCGCCCGCTCAGTGCGCTGTCCGAAGCTGGGGAAGCCGTGCTGCTGTTGCGGGAGGGCCTGCTGCGCCGGGTGCGCTGCCTGCAACTAGGGGCTCCAGGCTCCGGCCCCGCGGCGGCCGTCCCTGGGCCTGCCTCGGTCTCTGACCTTGCCGGGAGCGGCCGCGACTGCGTGCTGCTGCAAGAGGACTTTCTGGCGCACCGAGGCCGACCTCACGTCTACCTCCAGCGCATCCAGCTCAACAACCCCACGGAGCGCGTGGCCGCGCTGCAGACTGTGGGGCCTACTGCCGGCCCGGTCCCCAGGGCCTTCACAAGTACCCTGGAGAAAGTCGGAGACCATCAGTTCCTTCTCTACTCGGGCCGGTCCCCGCCTTTGTCCACGGGACTGGTGCACTTGGTGGTGGTGGCCGCCAAGAAGCTAGTGAACCGGCTCCAGGTGGCTCCCAAGACGCAACTGGATGAGACAGTGCTGTGGGTGGTACATGTCTCCAGTCCCATTAATTCCCAGGCGCTCAAGAGCAGAGCAGCCAAGGAGCTCAAGACGCTGCAGGACTTGGCCCGGAAGGAAATGCTGGAGCTCTTGGAGATGCCGGCGAATGAGCTGCTTCAGGACCACCAGCGCCTCTGGGCCCAGCTCTTCAGCCCAGGTGAGGCCTGGCGAGCTTCTGGGGCAGGGAGGTAGAACACAGATGCAGAGGTGACACTGAAGGAGAGGAGTGGGGTGGTTCAAACTTGTGCTTGGTGCTTGACCTGGGGCTGAATCTCTGTTCCACCATTTGGTAGCAGTGCAACCTCGGATCAAGTTACCTCTCTCTGGGTCTGTTTTCGGTAATAGCAATACCTACCTCTGGGAGCTTTTACAAGATTTTACTGAAAGAATGAGTGTAAAGGGCAGATCTTGTTATTTTTCCTGAACAGGAGGCCTGAGTTAAGCAGGGTGAGGCTTTTAGAGTTGGTTTGTAAAGGGTAAACCATCAGGCAGAGACCTGGCAGATCCCTGGAGTCTTTCCTCAGTTCCCAGACTGACTGGTGACAGGCGTGGGCTCCTTGACGTGACTCTCGCTGGGTTGTGTGTACCCTGCTGTTGTTGTGGCTGCAGCTTCTTCCTGGGGTGGTTGGGATGCTCCTGCCAAGTAACAACTTATTTTCCCGTAGACTGTTTAAGGAAAGAAAATCCTGTGCTGGATGAGAGAGGGAGTTTGGTCTCCAGGGTTCCAGTGTCTGAACCCTTAGGTTTGGTTGTTCAAAGAGAGTTTTAATTCATTCGACAAGTATTTATGGAATGTTTGTGCCAGGGTCTGTTCTAGGCTCTGAGGATACAGAAGTAAATAGAATGAAGTCCTGTTCTTCTGGTGCTTGTGTAAATTCTGGTTGGGAGAAGACAAGTGTTAGAAAAGTGAACACTTACATCAATAAGCATGAGAGTTTCTTAGAATAAAAAGTGCTATGGGGAAAAGTTAAAAATAGGGCCATGTGATCAAGGGTGACGAGTGGGGTAAGAGTATGTGATGGAGGCACCTCGTTTTAGCTGCATTGTCGGGCACGCCTCTCTGAAGAAGAGACACTTCACCTGAGCCTGAATGGCAGGAAGAAGGCAGCCATGTAATGATCTAGGAGCAGAGAGCTGGCTGGGAGCCGGCAAGGGCAGAGGCCCCCAGGCAGGAGCAGTGTGGGTTGACTGGCTGGCAGGTAGTGAGCGGGAGACATGGTCAGACAGGTGAGGGTGCTGGCAGTGGCCAGATCATAAAGGGCCTTGTCGACCTTGGTGAGGACTTTGAATCCTATTCTAAGTGGGATGGGAAGCAGGGGAGAGTGTGAGCTGATGTACCTTTTTAAAAGATCTCTCTGGCCACTGTATGAAGAGTACAGACTATAGCAGGGCCAAGTGGATGCATGGGGACCAGTTAAGAGGCTTCTTTAGGAGCCCAGGTGAGAGGGAAAGGTGGCTTGGGCCAGGGTTGTGACCACAGAGGTGGAGAGAAGTGGATCTAGCCGCCAGGACTTACCATGGATTGGCTGTGGGAAGTGACAACTTGAGCTAGACTCCTGAATTTTAGGGGCTTGAGCAGTTGTATGGTTGGGGGTGTCATTTACCAAGATGGAGACAACTTCAGGAAGGATGGTTTGGGGTTGGAAGAGTTCAAACCGTGTCAGGTTCAAAATACCTCTCAGATACCCAGGTGCAGACACCAAGCAGGCTGTCGAGTCTAGAGTTCACATAAATTTGGGAGATGGCTGTGTTCAGAAGTGGCCCATGACTGGTCAGGGTATTGATGGACACAGTGTCCTGGCATGGGGGGACCAGACTTTTCCCTTGACCCCACAGGCTGGGAAGTCCTGGCTGGGTCTGTGTTCTTCCCAGCTCTGGCAGGAGGCTCTACTACCTTGTTAACAGGATTTCAGGGCTCAAGATGGTCATGTAAGGAAGATAGGCAGAATGGCTTTGTCCCATAAGGAGGGAGGCGAGCCACTGCTTTCTGCACCGAGGACTAACAACGACTCTGATCTTGATTTTTGTTTCATAACCTCTGTCTCCTGGCCATGCCCTCCCTCTAACGTGCAGTCTTGGGGTGTTCCAGGAGTGGAAATGAAGAGGATCACCGACGCCCACACGCCGTCCAGCCTGACCGTGAATCTGACGCTGTACTACATGCTCTCCTGCTCCCCAGCCCCGCTGCTCAGCCCTGCCCTGAGCCACAGGGAGCGAGACCAGATGGAGTCAACGCTCAACTATGAAGATCACTGCTTCAGTGGCCACGCCACAATGCACGCCGAGAACCTCTGGCCCGGGCGCCTCTCCACGGTCCAGCAGATCCTGCAGCTGTCTGACCTATGGAAGCTGACCCTGCAGAAGCGTGGCTGCAAGGGACTGGTGAAGGTGGGCGCCCCGGGCATCATGCAGGGCATGGTGCTCAGCTTCGGCGGGCTGCAGTTCACCGAGAACCACCTCCAGTTCCAGGCCGACCCCGACGTGCTGCACAACAGCTACTCGCTGCACGGCATCCGCTACAAGAACGACCACATCAACCTGGCCGTGCTCGCGGACGCTGAGGGCAAGCCCTACCTGCACGTGTCCGTGGAGTCCCGTGGTCAGCCCGTCAAGATCTATGCCTGCAAAGCAGGCTGCCTGGACGACCCCGTGGAGCTGACCTCAGCGCCCCAGGGCCACACATTCTCTGTCATGGTGACGCAGCCCATCACGCCGCTGCTCTACATCTCCACCGACCTCACGCACCTGCAGGACCTGCGGCACACGCTGCACCTCAAGGCCATCCTGGCCCATGATGAGCACATGGCCCAGCAGGACCCTGGGCTCCCCTTCCTCTTCTGGTTCAGTGTGGCATCCCTCATCACCCTCTTCCACCTCTTCCTCTTCAAGCTCATCTATAACGAGTACTGCGGGCCTGGCGCCAAGCCCCTCTTCCGGAGTAAGGTATAAAGCCACCGGCTTGCCAGTGCCCAAGGCCCCTGCCTCATTTCCTATCCTGTGTCTAGGAGGAGGCTGGCCTGGAGAGGGTGGGGTGAGGCCTCGGCAGTAGTGGGGTGTCCTAAGCCAGTGCCCTCAGCATCAGAGAGGTAGGAGTGTGTTTTTAGAGGACACCAAAAAGTGACTTCAAAAGGAGACCATAAGAAAGGGAAGGCTGTGTGAATCCAGGTGCTGAGTAGACAAGTCCACTGGGTTCTAGAGACACTGGCAATTTCTCCCCATAAACCCCTGCATTTTAAAATAACTCCAGCACATCCCTAAACTGACCTGAAGCCTCTATCTCACTGCCAGCGGCCCTGTCCTCACCCCCCAGGGCCTGTGCCCCATCCTCACTCCCCAGGGCCTGTGCATTGTGCTTGGAGCTCAGCCCCTCACTGTGGCCTCAGTGAGGTTGCTGTCTGGTCAGCACAGAACTAGATCCTTCCCCTCCCGTGTCCTGAAACGCATCTGCCCCCAGGAAGTGGTTATTTCCACCACATTTGCTAAGGAACTGTCATCTGGGACTTATCTTGGGGTCAGGATTGGTGTGAAAGGGTGAAGTTGCCTGCTTTGCCTGCTGGCCAGTCTTCTATGCTTTCTCACTGCCAGGACCTCCGGGAAAGGACTAGGAGGGAGCCCATTATTAGCAGTCAGAGGAGAAAGTGCTTTTGAAGCTGAGCTTTTTTTCCTTTTCCTTTTTTTCCCATTCCTCCCCTTCCCTCCCCTCCCTTCCCCTCCAGCTGCAGTGGGAATAGAGATCTATGAGGCTCTAGATCTGTGTCCTCAAGTAGTTAACGAGCCTGGAGCCAGCTCAGGAGAGATGCATCACTGCATCAGTAGAAGGGCCTTGTGGCTTCTGGTTTCTGGCCCAAGGCCAGGACTTGGAGAAGAAAACAGCATTGAAGGAGTAGGAGAAGGGCTGGAGGCAGGTCTGAGTTTCTCAAGCTTGAAGAACAGATTGAAAATCAGATCAAAAAGCAATGTGCGGAAGGTCTGCCCATTAACAGGCTCTTGACTAGCTGTAATAGAACAGGTGCTAAATTTGCATCGTGTAGGCTTTGCTGCCTCTGCCGTTAAAGAGGCGGCTGCTCTCCCCTGCTGGTATGCTTCTCTGTTCTCGCTCTTGGTGTACACCCATCCACCCTTGATTCCCTGCGTAATTGGGGGGACAGGCCAGACTGCCGTTGTAGAGTACTGACCTGTGTCTTCCAATTTACACGTGGTTGAGCTGTGCCACACCAGAGCAGAGCCAGGTGAACACTCTGCCCAATCCCAGGAGCCCACAGGCCCCAAAGTCCGTGGGAATTCCAGCATCGCCCTAGGCCAGATGCTGTCTGTAGGTGGGGTCAGAGCCTGGCTAGGTGGCCACAGGGTGTTCTCCATAGCCTGCATCTCTGAGTATTTCTGTGGCTGTCCACGAGGGCTGGTGGCAGACAGTAATACATTGTTTTGTTTATTGAACAGGAAGATCCCAGTGTCTGAGTGAACAGATGGTCCTGCTTTCAGCCACCATTTGCACAAGACGCCCAGCACTGAAAGTCCTACTGCTGTGAACAAGGGATCCTCTGAAAGCCAGCACCCTTTAGTGCCTTGTTTGGGGAAACCAGCGACTCCAAGCGTTTGTGGGTGTTCAGGAGTCTGCGCCGGAAGGAAGGAGAGTGTCCGGTGGGGAGTAGGGAGGGGAGGGGCCCGTGGACTTTTTGTAAGCTTTCGGCTGAATAAAATGAACCCATGTGGAAAGTACTTGAAATTGAACTTACTCCTTCCACTTTCCCCCTTCCCTCTGTTCCAGGAAATTGACCCTCGTGTGAAAAGACTCGTTTAGGAAAAACTGTTCTTTTCCTAATTTAATGTGTTCTTTCTTGAATGACTTCTAATTTATTTTTGTTGTGTGGCTTTTGTGTCCACTTTTAGGCGGTGAGTCTTGGCAGCGGCTCTTCATCTAAGCTGCCTCTGTGGCATTTGGAGGCCATGTGCAGTTCAGAGGCCGGGCCAGGCCCCTCTCCAGGGTGGGCACTGCCTGCGTGGGCGTGGGGGGCACAGGCCCAGGTCACACTCAGCTAGCCGTTTGTGTCTTTCTCATCCTGAGCCTGTGGAGATCTGTGGTTTTGTACTTTTGGGCTGCGGGGGAGGCATTTAACTTTCTAGTAATTGATGATTGTTGGGTTTTGAAATACCAAAGCTTCTTTTTGTTCCGTTTTTAAATAAATAACTTTCAAAACTTCTATGATTGGTTTTGTGTGTGGTTGAAGCCTCTATCACCAGATTTTTGGGTAGTGTCTGGAAACAGAAGGACACACGTCATAGCCCCTCCACAGAGAAAGTGTGGAGGTGCATACCTTTTCGGTGACCTGATGAGTAGGTTCGTTGGGGGCCCCTAGCATCACCCAGGTCCCTTCCCTGCTCAGTGCCCTCTTCCCACCCCACCTCAAATGACCTGGACTCTCCCTGCCCTGGGGTTGGCCGGCCATGGGGCTGGGCAGCAGGAAGAAACACCGAGTGGGCCTTCCGCAGGGTGTTAGCCAAAGCCAAGGTCAGACCCCTCCCCTTTGTGGGAGGAGAGAACCATCCCAGGGACCAAAAGGGACTGCTGGGCATGGCAGCCCACCTTGGGGGCTGCCTCAGCATTCCGAGTGTCTCCCAGGCTCCGAGACAAGCAGTTTAAGCAGCGTGACTCACCAGCAACCAGCTTGCTTGCCAAGGAGCTGCAGTCTGGCCACAGCAGATGGCTGTGGGAGAAAGTTAACCAAGAGGATCAGGCTCTACATGAGCTGCCCTGGTTTTCCAGCCACCTGAGTCCCAGGCGCCTTCTCTTCCTGCTCTGGGTAGTGCAAAGTGCGAAATGCCTTTGGCTCGTGGGCGCCTGCCTGCCTTGGAGCGCGACTCTCATGAGGTGCAGTTGGTGTCATTTACAGCATGGAATACGCTCCAGTTCCAGTTAAACTGGAAGCTGCTTGACCGCAAGAGCCACACCTGACAGTTGCCATTCATCTGTCTTTAACTTGGCACCGGGCATGTCAGAGGTTCCCATCAACATAGACATGAACACATGCACCTGGCACTCGAGAAACTCTTATCGGTAGAATGATTAGAATTTCAATGAACTAATGTCCGGAAATCAGAGCTCTCATTTAAGAGCTCACAGTATGCCAGGATTGTGTTAGGGCTTTATGTCAACATCGCCCTGTGGGAGGAAGAGCTGGTGAAGGCGGCTGTTAGGATCCCATTGTGAGAGATGAGGAAACTGGAGCGCAAGGCCACACAGCTACCAAGTGCAAGGCTGGAAGGCAAACTCACCCTTTACTTCCCCTCTCCATCCCTCTAGTGGCGTCCTTGGGAGGGGATGGGAGCAAAGTGTTTTCCTCCCCCTCTTTGGGAAGCATCTGCTCAAAGTAACTTGATGTCTGCAATGAACCTCTGCAGTGCTTCCAATTCGGCCACCCTTGCAGAGAGGAAATACTTGCAGGCCTCAGTTGGGATGGCCTCGAGCACGAACCTAGGACGGTTCACTTCTGCACAATCCAGTTAGTGCCACTAGGAGGCGCTCTCTTCTCAGCCTCTCCAGCTGTATGCACACAAAGGCTTTATCAAGTTGCTTTTTCTGGGACTGAAACTGGATATGGAAAATATAATTGCACACTACCCAGCACTTCCCAAAAGCCGAAAAGTTGATTTTGAAACATGTTCCACCTCTTGTGCTCCGTCTCCCATCCTCTCAGCCCACCTTTGCCTCTCGCCATGGTTGCAACAGCCAGCTTTGCGCAGGTGTAAGCACCCGCAGCACCTTGCTTCAGCCACTCTCTTTTGTACAGGGACCTGCTGGGCACCCACACGCGGCACTCACGCATGCGCAACAGCGGCATGTGAGGCCGATAACACTGCACAGGGAGTTAGCTAGGTAAGGAGCGGGAGAGGACCACTGGGCAGCCGGAATGGCGAGTGAAAACACAGGGGTGGGAACATTTGGAGATGCCCAGGGAACAGCTAGTACTTCAGTTTGTCTGCAGTGTTGGATCCATGAAGGGGAGAAAGGGGGCAATATGGCTATAGAGTTGGAGTTCATTTATCCGCATCATTGACCTCCAAGGGCAATGAGTAGGCTCTGGTCCTAATTCGTGGCAGTAACAACAGC